AAGAATTCGATTCTTTACAAAAAATTCTCTTACTAATAATAAAAGTTATTAATTAAGTTATAGTGATACTTTGTAATACCTAATCCTAGAACACACATATAGATGTGTCTCTCAGACCCAATTCGCTTGCTCCATATACGAAGAAAAGAAGAGTGTTATTTTATAACTTAACAGTATAAAAATTTTTGACATCAACTTATGTAAGTAGATTCCTAAATCTCAGAGCTTTAAAATAAAAAAAAGAGAGTCTAAAAATATTAATCTAAACCAAAGTTATAACCTATCCAAGTTACAATGGGTCTTTCAGACCCATGGCGTGTTTTCAGAATATTTCGGAAGGTGTGTTCTAGGGGTTAAGTATTATATTTAAATCGTATTACTGCTATCGTTCAAAAAAACGGAAATCTCAAAATTCTTACGCTTGTAAAACCCTCCAGAGATAAATCTACGAATTTTCCGGCTGTCATTGTCAATTCCTTCTGCGATCTCATTATCAATAACAACAAGATCTTACTTTGCTTAGGTTTTAACTTGTACCAAAATGAATCATATGCCGCCCGATTTATAGACTTGCTCTAAGACAAAGTGAGAAATAAAGTATTAAAAAATTTATAAAGTATATTCGCCCTTACTGAAATGAACTATTGGAAAACCAATAATCACTATTGGATTTTAATAATGATTACTCGCTCTTTAATAGTGAGTATTTATTATCCAATAATCGGCATATATTAACATAAAATGTTAAATAACTCATAAACTATTAATTTTTCGATAATCGTACCTTAATATTTTTATGAACAGAGTAATAAGATCAATTGGTGAAAAGAAAACACATACATAGTTGCTTAAAAAAATATGTATGTAAAATGAATAATTTTTAAAATAAGCAACTATGTGTTTTCTTTCCAGCAATTGATTTCATTATTCTGTTAATAAAAGTATTAAAATACTATTATCCAAAAAATTAATAGTTTACGAGTTATTTTATAACATTAACATTTTATGTCAATATGTGCCACAATAAAATATAAAATATCTCGTAAACTATTGGTTTTTTAATATCTCCATCTTAATATTTTTACATGCGGAATCTTTTTGATGCCTCCACCTAAAATAAGAGAATAGAATAAACAATGCGACTAAAATACATCCCTCTTGAAGCCGTTCCACTTTCATTTGAAACGTTTTTTTATATCACTAAAAATAAGTGAAATATTCAAGATGTTCGATTTAAGTGAACCACCCTGTGTGTGTGTGTGTGTGTGCATACATATATATATATATATATATATATATAGTATATCAGTAACACTGAATTAATTAATTTTTCAATAATTATCTAATAGTTTTCCCAATAATCTAATAGTAGTTCTTCTCAATTTTACAAAAAAACTATGACTGAATAATCAAGTATAATAGTTTCTTTAATAGTCCATTTCCGTAAGAGCGTTCGACAATTCTGTAAATGCGACAGCTTAATGTTTATTTCTTCGCATAAATCAGCTATTTATTTCTTACATCATTTACATCAACGCGATCACAAAATCGATTCCTCTTATCCAGCTTATCTATTATAAAATATACTGACCAAACCCGATATGGCCTATCTAAGCGTTGCTGAATCTAATTCGAAAACAGGTATAATCAGATTTAATAAAATAGGAAACATTACTGAACATTAATTGAAAATATGAGACACATTTTAATTTTTACGGGTGCAGGTACAGTAAAGATTTAAATATTCATGTAAATATGAGCAGCAAGACTATATTAAGTACTAGGCCATATTGGATACAGTTAAGCCTAAAATACATAAAAGCACAAGCAAGGAAGAGACTAATAGATTTCAATCTATCAGAAACAGTGTTATACCTATACTGCGTAATATATATATATATAGGGTTTGGTAATATAAAATCTATATTCCCTATTCCTATTGTCTGTACTTTTCATTATGTATTAAGCTTTCCCTTACGATATGAAACTGATCTTTCTCTTTTCTTTTTCTCACCTTGGAAGTGAGATATTCGCCACTGAAGCAAAGTATAAAAGCTTCTAAATTCACGACGGCATAATAAGGTATAATCTTTACCATCAGAATATTTCCATCATGAGTGCCAAACGACTACGATTCAGAGACGAGATCCTTCGAACAAATCGCAAAATTCTGTTTGAAACAAGTTTGTCAGGTTACTCACAGTTACAATTACGAATCCGAGGAAGCAAATAACGAATGTGTTTAAGAGAAATTGCATCAACGCCATATAACAGAACACATCCTCAATACTGTCTGCGAAGGCAATAATCCTTTGATGTCTACTCACGATAGATCTCAATAAGATTATATGCGAGTCGTATTTGTTCTCGGCTACAGGAATTTCCAACAATTCGTGACATATTATGTCAATTTGACCGGCAACATGAAGTATCTAAAAGTGATGATTTAGAATTGTCCCAAGGGCTATAATATATAATCTGTCAACTTCTAGAGATCATTTAAGGGCGCACATTAGGGATCTACTTAACTCAAATATTAGCACTCAAATTCCTTGGATGATATAAAACTAATTTTCGTTGTAAAATGTAAAGATTTATTACAATATTAAGGCAATCAAATAAAATATAACGATATAGCGAACGAAAAATTCAGACATTGAAATCAGCTAACATGTATCAATAATCATCATGATTGATGGAAGCACTTCTTCCATCAATTGTAAAACCAGACAATGGAAGCTCTATTTATAAAATTTTTTGAACTCGAATCGAACCCACTCGCAAACAACCACCTACTGCATTGCTGCGTTCGACAGAAATTTCTTGCCTTTTAGATTCGTCATGTCTTCAAAAATGTGAAAATCGCATGGCAATAAGTCTGGGTTGTAAGTCCGGGTGCTTCAGCATTTCCCACTGAAATCAGGCAATTTCCACATCTTTGAAGAGCTGTATCCCGATTCTGTATTTTTAACGACAGTGTTGATATTATTATATTGCCGTTGCTCAGATATTATACATGATAAAAAAGCGCAACGACAACATAATGATATCGAACTATATAACTATAGTTAAGAATTACAAAATCGGGGTACACTAAAGAAGAATCTGAAAGGCAAGAAATTATCAGCAGTACAGGAGACTATATTTGCGAGTAAATTCGATCCCAGGAATTTTATGAACAGGACATCTGTCATCTAGTTTTACGATGGAAGAAGCCTTGCCCCCAACTACGATTATTAATATGTTAGTTGATTTCAATGTCTGAATTTTTCATCCGTTTCATTTCATTTAACTGCCCTAATAGTATCGCGTGTATTAATAATGCTAATATAATATTATATTAACGTTTAAAAAATATATATATGTATAAAATAATAAATAATAAGTATCCCTACAGCGCGAAATATTGCAGCAATATCGTGGCAATATTTAATAGTGCGCAATGCTGTAATTTTAATATTTTGCAAGAAATATTAAAATATATTATTGCCCATATAAGTAAGTATGCGACTCCGCCACGAGATGGACACGATTTTTATAAGAAGAAAACACCCAGAAGTTCTATCAGAGAAAGCGTATCGAGTTGGTAAATCTCCTGGAGATTCCCAAGCTCTTTCGAAGTGTGCCTTCTGATTCTCAAAAAAAGCTGTTTTTTTTTGCTCATAATTTTGCTCATAAGTTTGTATTTTGGAATGTAATACTAATAATGAATAATATTTTAGCAAATAAAATATTGCATAATGTTGCAACAATATATTTGCAATATTTGTCTAAACATTGTAGTAATATTGCAGACTATTGCAGCAATGCTCTATTTTAGCAAAGAAATATTTTAGTGCAATAATATTGCAGTAATATTTTATGAAATTTGGAATTTTTTAAAGTAATATTGCTGATGTCGTTGCAATATTTCGTGATGTAGGAATAAAATAGTGATTAAAATTGGGCTCTTGTCAAGAAAAAACGCAACATTCTTTGGTACGGAACCAACTTACTAACGTTACAATAAGAGCATTCAACATTCCCGCTAAAAGTGCCAATGTGAATTGCACAAAAAATTGCGTGACCACAACAATTTCATAAATCGGCGACGCATCAAATTCAGACGGCAATTTCATTTTGACAATAAGCTGCTTCTCTTCGACAAGTTGCTCAGAACCCATAGTCTTTTGAACGATCATGTTACCTGCCCCAAACAAAAGTAACACGACAGTATATGTACCAATGCTGTATTTTGAAATTCGATGAGACAAAATCGCTTTGCTTATCATCAGCTGCATTTTTGAGTGATTAGAGGAACACTCATTCCAGTCTTCGACAATCCTCGCAAGCATGTCATAAATAATACTGGATAACATGTAGATATATAACACAATATACGCATACAGACAATTAGTATATAAATTAAAACTAGTAGCAAAACTAATTTCTAAAAAATTATAAATTATAAATTAATTTTCCAAAAAATAAAATTACATTTGAAAGGATTTTAATTTCTATTTAAAGAAACGTATCTAAGGCAATAATCTATCGCGCGATGTAACATACTCAATATTGAACTTTTTACAATCAAGTATCAAATTAACTAACTTTTTCACAAATTAACACATTCAACTTTAAATTTGAAAAAATTAAGATATAGCCATAAATATAAAAAAATATTTATGTGTCCACCCGTCCCTCATTTGTCAGTTGACGACATCTCCAACGAATCTTACCGTCCGTTCAGCCAAAGGAGGCTCATTTTTAGAAACAATAAGCTGTTCGACAAACACAGACTCAAAGAATCCATGAGATTTGGTAGAGTATCGGAACCGATATGAGTGAAGAGATGCCAGTACTGTAAGAACTGCCAGGTGGTCATCGTCGTCGTCCAAATGATGCGCATTAAGAATCTGTATGACGAATGTGGCCAAACGCCGATCATCCGTAAAGTAAATTCCATCAAATTGTCAACAGTGCTCGTAGGTATCATCTTTTTTTTCTTTATCCGTGCTTCTCAATTAATTGATCAATTCCAACAATTGTTACAGCCGCAGTCACCAGCTATTCTTCCGTTTAACCGACGTAGCAATTCTATCGCAATTCTTGTAGAAAAGAAGATGAACCTCTTCTTATTGTGATCAGCTGTGAGTCACGTATTCCAGACAGTAATATCGGATAGAATCGCGCAGCTAGCTAAACGCTATGCTATATTATAAAAACTTTCCACTAGGTTGACTTCATAGAAGCAGCGGATAAAGTGCTGCTTTATGCAGAATGACTGCTGTCGAACTGCAATTACCGAAGACCATTATATGAAGCGCACGTAAATGTGTAACGACTACTTGGACGATCAGCGGAGAAAGGGACAATCAGAGGTAAAAGCAATCACACGTACTTCGTGTATTATATTGTTCGCAACACAGTCGAGATCACGAGATGTTTACTTTAAAAATACACAACCGTAATTTATCAAATTGTTACGCGGAATCACGTGGAAAATTAAAATACAATTGTTCACAGATAATGAAATATAATGGTCAACTATAATAGTTCAATTTGTTGCGTCGAGTCAGCTATACATCATGGAGGACTCGCTCGAGCGACAGTGTCGCATCAGTCACTTGATCGTTTCACTCCGACAGGTTAATATTTCAAAACCATTTTTAAAATATATATATCCGAGATTAATCAAACAAAATATAAACTTTATGCTTTGTCCAAACAAACACATATTATATATTATTATTTTTCTCCTTCTTTCTGTATAAATGTAACTTCTGTGTGAAGAAATAACTTTTCAGAAAGTATCCGTTCGACTTCGAATGAAAGTCTGCCACAATATAAGTAAATAAACATCACTGAGTTAGCATAAATTTACGGCTGTGAAAATTCCAGTATGGAATCCGTCCGATTCCACGATGATGTAACGTGACAATTTTACAACGCGCATGTAGCGGCAGCGGCAATCGTTACCTCCGCTCCTAAAGTTACATCACATAATAAATTTTATCCGTATCAGTGGCACTGGATGTGTCACTTCCGAACGAGAGCAGACACAAGATTCGGTCGTATCTCATGTAAATGTATGCACTGCAGTCGTTTTGAAGAGAAACATATCGCGCAAAACAATCCTTTCAGAAGAACGCAATGATGGATGTCATTCCCGTTATATTTCTTCAACTTTCGAATAAAAATAGGAGAAAAATATCGTGCATGTAATGTAAAAATTATAATATGAATGTCCTCGATGAAAATCGACTCGATTCCATGCTCGACGAAAAATTGCAACAATATTTCCACGTTGCATATACTTGCTGCACATTTTGCAAGTCGAGCAGTTTTTCGCTTGATATTATTAAATTCACTTTTCGAAAAGATAACCACTCGAAATAAATCGTAGATAAGTATAGCAACTTACAGATATTCACTCGTTTCAAAGTGTGTTATAATCATTCCTATAAATCATCCTTGCAGTTAAGTTATTGCAAATTGCAGACGTTTGGTCAGCATCCGTGGTCTCATAGGAAATCATAATGCCTGCAGGTAGAAAGGTGTTGCGGACAAATACGAAATAATACGAGCCATAAAAATTTACGCGCGCTTTGGGACGCGAATTTCAGTAGAAAAGCAAGATTGAACAATATCAACAATATCAAGTGAATGAGAAAATGTGTTTTATTCATAAATCTAGAATAAAAAAGTCAGCGTATTTATACTGAATACAAAAATTTCGAAATAAATGTATTTCTAAATTCTGTACATATTTTTGTAGTCAAATTATACTTATTTTAACTGTTGAACTTTATATTTAGCAACATAAAAATCAACTTTTTGAATTTAATGTTTAAAATTTCAATATAATTGAGAGAATCATGATTTTTTTCCCAATGAATTATAGAGCTCGAGTTTTAAAAAATCTGATTAAATATAAAAAATAGAAATTTAAAGGGTATCAAAGGATTTATTTCATAAAAATCATATAGAATACACCACAGCTTCATATTTTTGTTATATAAAAATTTTTTTTAAAACAATATTTCTATTTTAATCGCGAGTGATGATATACATTCCGTAGAACTTTTAAGATATTGAAACCTCAAGAAAAACTAAATAAAAAGTTTTTACTTAAGGGAATTAAACCCTCCATTGCTCTCGCTCAACAAACAAACATTAGTGCTCTCGTATGAACGTCGCGCCGCGTCTATTATGTATTAGTGTAATGCTCAGTGTAATGTTAATCACTAAGACACAGTCTTGTAAAAGCCAAAGGCTTTAAAATATCGACTGATTTTTCGATCTGTAACAGTTACTCAGATTTGATAACAGTATGATTGTACGTATTTGCTCTCGTCATGAGCATTTGCTTCATACGGGAGTAATGGTGGGTTGAAGAATTTTTACATATCGCCGCCATTATCTAAAAGAATATTGAATCTAGAGAAAAGTTATGGATTATTATTGCGAAAAAGGACGCAGGTATGTAATAGCAAAGGTAAAAATCACATTTCATGATAATAACTTGGATGATATATATATATATTACAATTCGTTTCTAAGTATAAAAATATAATATAATATACAAATTGATCATTTATACAAACTCTATCAAAAATAGTAACAACAACACTATTACGCAAATACTTTAGAAATATTTCTTTTATGTCCAAGAAAAATTTATTACTTTATGTAATAAAAACTTCTCGCAAAAAGAGAGAATATAAAGATATTTTCCATATTTTCAAATTAATGTGATTGTCACCAAGTGTTATTTTCCCATTTCAATGATACACACATTTCAATAAATATTATCCGAACCAAGGATATATCTTGTAAGTTGTCCCAATGATTAAAGAATTATATATATACAAAATGTTAAAAAATCATTCAACATTTATATGATAGATAATACACACTATATGCTGAATAAAAAAATCTAATAACCAAAGATCGAAATCTTAATCGTTTCTGAGATATAAACAACTTAAATCTTCACATTGTATGCGACACATAAAAGAATAAGTTATGATACAAAAACAATAAGTTAACATACAAAATTGTTTAAATTTTAGCTTTCGATCTATATTCAGTAAAGCTTCTTTACTCAGTATGATACTGAATCATTTTTTAACACGCTGTATGTATATAGATATGTATAATGTCATTAATCGGTATGTACCTGTGCGCGAGCATGGACGAAAAGATAGATCATTTGTTTTTATCAAGAAATTAATCCGTATAATTGTATTGATTCATTTGAATGGAAAATAATTGCACTATTCGTGTAGTGTATTTCAATGACTACAATTGTATTATTAAAACACGCCATCAAAAACATAATTACGTCCATGCATTTCATCGAAAAGCGTTTCAAATATTGAACCATAAAACAATGTAGACCATCGAATATTTACGCAATCGATCAATCAATGAGTTAATCGATTAACATTATATATTTACATGCCGTTGTAAGCTGGCCCACCGCCACCCTCTGGCACGACCCAATTGATGTTCTGACTCGGGTCTTTGATGTCGCAGGTCTTACAGTGAATGCAATTCTGTGCATTGATTTGCAATCTTTCGCCATCTCCGCTTTCCAGCGGCACGAATTCGTAGACACCTAAAATCAGATTGCACACACTTGTTTTTGAATTGCAAAATAAACTGCCCTCACTTATCTTCCGATGGAGGGTTAGAGATACATCCAGAAACCACCATCTCCTAGCTGCACGAAAATTATTACCGATTCTAATAACATAAGTAACTAACTTATGTGTTCTTGTCGATCCGATTTATGTATTCTTGGAAACCATTTGACTGCTCTACGAAAATGCTAATAATGTCGCAATGCGCAGGATGATTTATTCAGCGCGATTTATTCAGCAGGCACATACATCCTCAGCACTCTACGGAGTGTGAAATTTACGTCGCGAAGGTCACACCGTGCCCTCAGCCAGACAGTCGATAACCTGGTCCCCACTATCTTCCAGACGATGCAGCAATTCTATAAGGAAGCTCCCAGAATTCCTCTCTGATACCCCGACTCGCCAGTTTCATGAAAGGAAACAGGAAGACGCATCCTAAAGACGCGAAAAGGAAAAGTATGGGAACGAAGAAAAAATACATTGTAAAAATCAAAGGTAGATGTTCAAGAAACAATGATAAAAAGGCACATAAATTTATCTGATTCGAAGGTGTATATATAATACAATAGGATATATACGATGTCCACAAGCCATAAAGTTTAAATTAACAAAAATGCCCGTTGTTATAATGTTATAGCATTGATTGTAATTTTATATAAATAATATATATATATATATAATTTTGTATAAACAATATAAATTTAAATTGATAAGGAAATTTTGAAGATTTAATGAAATAATAAAATTGTTCTTGTCAATTAAATTTCATATAAATTTTATTCTACTAGTTTAATTTAGTTCTAGATTTGCACAAAAATTAAATTTTTTAAAAGATATTTAACCGTAAAAAGATTACGGAAAGTTAACTATAAAAAAAGTCAAACTTAAATTCATTGACAATTTGTAAATTAATTCATAGGTCATGGTCATTCGTTTATAATAACACACACATTAAATTTACAGTAATTATAGTAATTCTGTATGCCTTGTACATATAGAAATTACATTTTATTGTAATTTTAACGTAAAACTTATATTTAATAGTAAAGTAAAAATATTCAAATAAAAAGTAAAATTTTTGAACATTATCAGATTAACAACAATATAAATATTATAATTCATTTCCTTTATGAGAACATTATTTATTACTTATTAAACGTATTTATTAAATTGTTTATTACAAGTAGCAATAGTTACGTTAGCGAAAAAAAACAATTCCTGCACACCTAGTGATCACAACTGATGGACACGTATTTGGTGATATGACGGATTCGCGCTTTTTCGACGATTTTTATAAATAATATTTCGTTAATTATTGCAAAAATTGCACAAACTTTTTTAATTCAGT